AGGTCAACAGACTTGGACTATGTTGTAGCATCATCATCAAAAACTTAACCTAAGGTTAAGTTTTTGAATTTTTGATATAATCTTGAAAGTATAAGTTCTAAGTCAATGAAACTTGGACTATAGGGTTATCAAGTCTTCCCAATCATGTGAGTAGAATTTCAGGTCACTAAGTTAAGGTCAAAGGCCATTTAAGGTCAACAAACTTAGACTTTGTTGTGGCATCAACATTAAGATTTTCAAAATGCTTCTTCTTCGTTATTTTTCAACCGATTTTGATTCTGATTGTTTCATATGATAGGGCTAGGAGGGGATTTAAAATTTCTACACAGAATCGTGAAATTCATTATCTATACTAATTTATGCAAATTTATTCGAAATCACAAAAAAGGCTTCTTCTCCTTCATTTCTCGACCGATTTTGATTTTGTTTGCTTTATATCGTAGAGCTAAGTTTGGTACACTAAACTTCTACACAGAATTTTGAAATTGTTCTCCATTAATTAATTATGGTAATTTATGCAAATTTATTCCAAAAATAACAAAAATTGCTTCTTTTCCCTCATTTCTTGACCGATTTTGCCTTATCTGGTAGAGCTAAATTTGGAACAATAAACTTCTACACAGAATTGTGAGATTTTGCTCCATTGATTATTTATGGTACTTTATGCAAATGAAATGAAATTATGTCCCTTCCAGGGCATCAAATTTCTATTTTTTGACCAGTTCAAAAGTGTACCACATAAAATTTACTATATTTGTTGTTGTGAGATGCGGATGAGCGCTACATTATTGACGTTCTGGTTTATCATATTGAATTGCGTTATGCAGGCGAGACCGCCGAGAGCGTTTCCCTTGTTCCATTTAGTAAAAGCAAACATTTTGACGAGATAAGCAAAAACATGAATATTCATGACACACCATGGACTATTCGGTTATTAACAGAGGGGTGCAATCTGGCATCACGTCAAACTCCCCTAATTGCCACCAAGTATTTCACATCATTATATAGTTATGTTTCTTTTACTCACTCATGAATTATTGAATATCAATGATGGTTTAAAGATATGTAAAATAAATTTTAGTTGATATTTATTAACAAAGTAATTTATATTTAGCAAAGCAATCTCACATACAATATTACTATCAAGTGTCGTCTGCTACGCCGATTGTCGCCTGCTTCGTTTAAGGCACATATTTATCGTTTGGACTGTAAGGGTACCAGGGAGTTTGTATTTTCCTGCGGTACAACGTATATTAGGAAAATGTTGTATATGCGAATCCTTTTAATGATTACGTAATGGAAGTGGCGAGACGCCACGATTCCGCGAGGCGGTAGGGCAGGTGAAAGTTATTGTATTGAGAAGGAAAGTTATGTTAAGCTACAGATGTCTTTTTAACTGCACATAGTTCATTGTAGCAAGCGCGTAGCCACGATTTCATTTTAGGGGGCGATAGTGAGCACGCTTAGCGTGCGATCACTTAAAGAGCGCGCGAAGCGCGCTCCCTAGGGGGGTGGGTGCAGGGAGGGGGGAAGCGCGGAAGCTTTGAAAGAAAACGATTCGTTGTACCTTTCTCGACTCATAATCCTTGTCTGAATTTACTCCGCCCCTCCTGCGCATAGCGCGGAAGCTTTGAAAGAAGACGATTCGTTGTACCTTTCTCGACTCCTAATCCTTGTCTGAATTCAGTCCGCCCCTCCTGCTCATAGCGCGGAAGCTTTGAAAGAAAACGATTCGTTGAACCTTTCTCGACTCTTAAAGGGATCATTTAACAATGTTAAATCTGAGATACAGGGCCCTACGTGTTATCAGTGTCTGTGATATGGTGTAATATTGAAGCCCTAAAAAAATTGCGCCTCAAAATGATCAAGAAGTGCCTCAAAAAAGTAAAAATCTTTGAGTGACCGGTTTTACCATACTCGTTTTCCCCAATAGACTGTAGTGTTATGAAAACCGTCAGGCGAACGGTTTTCAAAATTTGTAATTCCAATCATAAATATCTTGATAATCAGACAGGCGACCGGCTCGTAAAAGTCATGGGGTTCCTGACTGACCTAAAGGTTTATAATTATCATTGCATCATGAGCTAAATCCAGAATTTTGTTTCAGAATCTGAGACAAAGTTACCGGATCCCTTTAATCCTTATCTCTATTCAGTCCCCTCCCGCATGCTTTGACGTTTCATTAATTTATTAGAGAAAGAAGACGATTCGATGTACCGTTCTCGACTCTTAATCCTTATCTGAATTCAGATTACCCCCCTCCCGCGCAAAGCGCGGAAACTTTGAAGTTTCATTATATTATTAGAGAAAGAAGACGACTCGAAGTACCGTTCTCGATTCTTAATCCTTGTCTGAATTAATTCAGTCCCCCCCCCTCCTCCCTCCTCCTGCGCGAAGCGCGGATGCTTTGACGTTTCATTAAATTATTAGAGAGAGAGGACGATTCGTTGTTCCGTTCTCGACTCTTAATCCTTAATTTGAACTCAGTTTCCCCCTTTCCGCACGAAGCGCGGAAGCTTTTACGTTTCATTAAATTGTTAGAGAAAGAAGACGATTCGTTGTACCGTTCTCGACTCCTTTTCCCTTTTTTTTCCTACGTCCTCTTACTTTTTTTTTTCTTCTCTTTCTCTCTCTTTTTTTTTTTTGGCCGGCGTTTTTTTTTTTTGGGGGGGGGCGACCGCCCCCACCGCCCCCCTGGCTACGCACTTTACCTTTTATTGAGACACTACATGGACACCTGCACAGCACCTACTTCAGTACGAGAATACACCCGACGGCGCGATGGCCTGTACTTATAGCGATAAGAAGAATAATGTATAATTCGCGCCATTTCGCGCGAACACATCACACCCAATGGCATACACCCGGTACCCTGCAACACAGTGGAACATTCTAAGAAATTGAAAAATTATCTTCAAAATAGACCTCTTGAATCATCTTAGACGTAACTTACCCTATTCTGATGACTTCAATGAATGTCAAGATAACAATGGCTGCGTTTCCATCCAAAAATAGTTTCACAAAATATATTTGCCGCCGCATTCAATATGACGTCATTGACAGCTTATTGGCTAGTTTAGGAGTGACGTCGAACGAGCTATGTTTGTGCTGCAGTGATCCAGCGAACGAAAATGAGACAATCGGAGCAATATGGTAATGAATTATTAATGACGCTCGATGGAAAAGGGCTTTTCGGATGGAATTGACCCGTATGATGAATGGTATTTTTTATTAAGTATTTACTGATTTACTATTATATTCATGGTTTGTTCAAAGCTGATATAAAATTCAAATAATATTATGGAAAACATATCTAATATCTAACTAATTTGAAAGCTGCTCAAACTGATTTTGATTTCCTTTTATTTTAAAGTGTGCAATTCCACACTGTTCACATATTGTACTGAGAGATACGAGAAGATACGGAGTACGAGAAGAGAGTGGGAGAAAATAAGAGTTAGAGGAGAGGGAATCAAGAGGAGGAAAGTGCTTAAAACAAAGTAAGAAGTAAGAAATAGGTGAGGGAGACCGAGAAAGAGATAGAGAAAGAGAGACAGAGAGACAGAGAGAGAATTGGAGGGAGTATAAATATGTATACACAATGACGGTTTATAGTGTCACATTTAACGCCATTCATACAGATCAAATAGTCAAATACAATCAATGCATTCAAGATTATTATTTTTTTAATGGGAATGTGCGTAGAGAAATTATGAGTGATGCGTAAATAATCAAAATTATTGTATCACAATAAAGATGTAAATGCTATATTCCAAAACCAAACTTTAAACATGTAGACTTAATAATGGCCCCTTACTATTAAAAGCTGATAGAAGAAAACAAGGGAGAGGGTGAAATCGGAAGAAGGAGGGGTGAGTCAAGAGAAAGAGAGAGAGAGGGGGTAGAAAGACAGAGAGAGAGAAAGGGGAAAAGATAGAAGGAGAGGGAGATGAGGGAGAGAGAGAGAGAGAACGAGAGAGAGAGAGATGAGGGGTAGAAAGAAAGATGAGGGAAGGGTAGAGAGTAGAAGACTGAAAAGAGAAGGGAGATGTAGGGCGAGAGAGATAGATAAATAAAAAAATATGAGGGAAAGAGAGAGAGAGAGAGAGAGAGAGAGAAGGAGATCGAAGTCCTGTGTGAAGTGTATGGTTGAATATATAGTTATTCACAATACATACCGTTACAACCATTTTAGTTTTCTTCATATTTGTATGTATAATTCGAAAACTCAAAAGATGCGATCATCGGTCATTTTTTTTTTTTGCTGTCTCTAACAAGATATTTTGCATCCGGTCTTTGTCATACAAACACATTGAAAGTGCAAGCTCAGAGTTGGCGGCACTTGACCCTTGACGGCAGTGCATTGAACCACGTGACCTTCATGTCTGGCCCAGCCAAATGCGACGAGTGATTTGCTTCGTGGTCACATGATCAAAATGGGTCATACGACACATGTTTCGGTGTTGATTGCCCTGCGATCAATTCACTTCATGGACATTTTAGCGTATTGTTTTCTTCTTTATGTATGACAACTAATTTATCTCAAAGTATAAACGGTTCCTTGAAGATGAAAACATTTCTATGTCACACAGACATGCCCATAATAAATTGATAATAAGTCTAATATGATTCTTTTTTTCCTTTCATTACCTAAATACTCCAATGCATCTGGAGGTGTTGTGGTAAAGTGGTTAATTCACTTTACTCTCAATTCAAGGGTCGAGGGTTGGAATCCCTGCCAGGCCAAGCACTAACGTCCTTTGGCAAAACAGCAATGCACGTTTGCCATTTTCCACCCAGGTGTAAATGAGTACCTGGCAAGTGTTGGGGTATTTATAATTCCAGGGCATGATGCGAATGAGGCTTCCCTGACTAAACAATATTATTCATTAGTGGTAGTAGTAGCAGTATAAGCAGTAGTAGTAATATCAGTAATAGTTGCTGTGGTAGTACATAATAGTATTTTACACGATAATCATGCTCTTTTCATTAAATTTCAGGAAAAAGTGGATTGGATGGTTGAGGCAAAGTCGAGGACACGGCGTCAGTCAGTGACGTCATTCAAAGAGGCGGAGCAGAAACTTAGGTTACTCAGGGTTCGTATGAACGATATCGACGAAGACCTCAGACGTGAGTATAACAATCATGATGATAATAATTTTGCTTTTCATTTCATGTTCTTTATGCGCTTAAAATTAAAAAAGCACATGTAAACAAAATAAAGGTTACAAATCGAAGTGAACATGATATAAACAAAATGCAAAAAATGTTTAATATGTAATTGTATATCAGTCTATTTTGTGTGTTATAGCGCTTAGAGACTTCGGTGGTAAGCGCTTTATAAGTAACGTTTTTATTATTTATTATTATTATGCATAAAAACAAACAGAGTACATTTCCTTCAGTAGTAGTCAGGTTGAGATAATTCTAAAACGTTTGGGATTTAACGTTAGAGTGTGTTGCACAGTGACACCTTCAAAGAAACCCATAAATATCTTTGTGGTTTCAGAATTTGTTCAGGATTTCCTGCATGTCAAAGGGTTGGTATACAGTAGAAGGAATATAACAATTCATACAAAAATTACGTCATTTTTCCATCGACCTTCAACAATGTTACCGAGTCACCTTAAAGCATGTATGTTCTACATGTACATAACGCCCGTTGCATACGAGGCGTCACTCGATTACGTCATTACCCGATGATTTTACCAGTGCCCCGAAATAGATGTGCATTAATGTAATTATAAAATTGTGACCATGATTCTGTTCATATTATTAATCACTCTCTTTCCATTTCTGGAGCTTTAGCTTCCTCTGTCAGCGTGAGATCTCATTCTAATTCAAATTACCATGGTCGGCCATTATCACTTTCTATTGACCTATTGTTCAGGTAGTTAAGAAATATGTCTGTCTGGTCATCAGTCTCCTCTCATCTTTTTAAAAGTAAATTCACATCATTCTATAAAACTTGATATTCAGTCCCGGAATGGGAATGCAAAGGTTGTAGGTTAACCACGACCATAACCCCTACATTACACCCCCCCCCCTCTATTTCTCTCATTCAGGATGCGTACATCAATGTGCTTCGATTAGTATGGGCAAGGAGGATATAGCTGGTATCGCTTTGGTATTGGGAATATTCTCTAAGGGAGTGGAGAGTGTGCACTGTAAAGTGCAGAATCGGGATAGAATCGTGTAACGGGGGTAATAATACTGTAAGCATCTTTGTCGGTTGCGCTCGTCAATTATTAAAACAGTTACTATCATCTGATTGTCTCTCATAGCATGCGACGAGGAGGATGTCTTGAAGGGTGTCCAGTGCATTGAAGAAGACAAGTGTATCACATGGGACCAGGTATGTGACGATGTCCAGGACTGTGGTCTTCAGCAGCTCGGAGCATGCCTCAACCAGACCGTGCAGCAGTACCGAGTGGAGCGGGAAGACCTGTGCAACGGAGACGAGAACAGGCTATGGTGCGATCTCAAGGAACACATTCCACGGAGTAGGTGGTCACCAAACATTTTTAGAAAAAACAACTCAAAGGCACTTTCATTATTATATACCATCGAGATTGGAAAACATTTTTTTTCAATCGTAAAATAAGGGGGATAATCAATAAGGAAGTCAAATCCTTTTCTTGACTGTTTTTTTTAAACTACCGATGCTAGATAGCACCATTTAAGATTGTAAAGAGGTTTCGCAAAAACCTCTGCCTTGGACCATTATCATGTCATTATCTCAATCCTGCCATTATGTAAAGGTGCGAAAATTTAAAATGATACTATGCGAGGATGAACATTCTCATGACCGCAAAGAGAGTCTACAGACTTTGGTAAATCAGTCAAGTCAAACGTTTCCTCTTTAACCAACCACTCACACTCCTTTGCTCACTGTAAACGGGGTCTTCTTTTTTTAGGATGTGGTGAATAAATTTGTAACTTTATAATGCTGAATACAAAATAATGTCTGATTAACAGAAATATATTTCCAATGATAATCTAGCGTATAGCCTCGAAACAAATGCATTTAATGAGTATTTAAGTGATATGAAGTATATATAAATGACTTTTCAACTCTCCCTTGTTTGTTCAAAAAACAATGTTAAACTTAGGCTATTGTATCACCCTCTGGAGCTACTCTTCTGCCGTATAGGCTCCTTCGTATCATCATTTCCAAACAAACCAGAGTGATGTTATACATTTAATGTTCTTATGTTTATTCAAAATACGTATGTATTATTCTCATCATTATATTTCTTGTACAAAAACTGAAAACGTGTAACCTTAAATAAGAATTAAACCGAACTGAAATGCAAAGCAAGTGTATGTAAACAAAAATTGACGAGCCGAGCATTTGAAACATTACATTTTATGCAGCACTCCTTCTTTATGCAATCTCCCTCCTTTCCTCGTCTTTTCGGTATGAATTGTCGAGGCTTCTTCTATATATATATATGTTGTCTATATATTTGAAATGCCGAATGAGGAAATATCTATGATTGGAAATATATAAACCTAAGTCCTATACAAATATGCATTATGAATAATCTGTCTCGAAATCGTGAAAACATTGAAGTGATACTGAAAATTTGAACAAAATAAACATTGATACACAAGGTAAGCGAATTAGTTTAGTCGAACAATCAAAACATTTACCTTTAACCGCCAATTCTTCTGTAAGCAATCTCATTCCCGTTCTTGTATTACAGGATGTGGGTCGGATTTCTGTCTGCGCCATCCGTGTCTTTGAATGAAATGATGGCTAAAAATATATGCCCTCCGAAATCCGAAATCCGAAATTCCTTCAGAATTCAGTGCGCTTTCCAAATTCCAAAGATGAACATGATTCTTTAGTTAGAGAACTATACAAGAAATCGAAGTGATTGTAGATAAATACACCTGTTAAATAATGGTATGCTTACTTTTTTAACGAAAGTCTTTATTGACAACTAAAAAATTGGCCAAAAGTTTGCCTGACATAGCAACAAGTAATGTATGCAAAATGGATTCCATCCATAGAGATCCCACTATGTATAAGGAGGTTATTCAAACATCGGAGACAAACATGCATAAGTTAATATACATATTAAATGACCTGGGGGGTGTTTCACAAAGATCCTAAGTAGAACTTAACACTAAGTTGGACTTAAAAATTATGGACAGCCATTGGAGCCTTAAAATGAAACATATTCAAAAGCAAAATGCAAGTATTTTAGACTTTTAATAAATTCCACATCAAGAACATGAAATCTTTCAAGATAATAGAAAATATGAATGATTTGAATCAACAATTTATGCCTTTTCAAATAATTTTTACAAAATATTTTCAATGATGCTAACGGCTTTCCATAAGTATTAAGTCCAACTTAGAGTTAAGTTCGACTTAGGGTCTATGTGAAACACCCCCCAGGTCTCTATTGAACATTTCATCTTTTATCAACCTCAATGTTCTCTCGGTTTTTTTCTTTCTTTTTCTTCAGGATGTGGTGAAGACATCGATCTGTCCGAGAGGACCAACAAGACTGTTCGAATTTTGTCGCCCAACTACCCCCGACAGTACCCGAGTGACATCCACTGTTACTGGATGATCAAGACCGCAGAGGGTAGCACTCTCAGCGCCTCATTCAAGAAGTTCGACACCGAGCCCGACTACGACTTCTTCAGTTTAGGAACAGGTATAGTCTGCTTTGCGTGGCGTGGTTATATTTAATTATGTAGAGGTGTCAAGGCGTAGCGGTTCATTCATCTGACTCTCAATTGGGGGGTTGAGGGTTCAAATCTCAGTTTGCCACTAACGTCCTTGGGCAAGACAGTAATCCTCATTTGACGCTCTCCACCTAACTGTTAATGGGTAGGCCTCCCTTTCAAATGCTGGGATAATACTGCTTGAAGGGCCCTCAGGAAGAACAGCATTAACACTATATATATATATATATATATATATATATATATATATATATATATATATATATTATTATTATTATGATTAATAATATTCTTATCAACATTAATTTTATAATTATTCAATAATAATAATAGTAATAATACCAACAACAAGATAATGATGATGATAATAATGATAATGAAAATGGTGATAATAATGATAAAGAGAAGCCTCATCAACATCAATGAATAAATAAATAACAATAAGAAATGAGATTGAGGAATTAATATGGCCGGTTTATGTGTATAAAGGTGGGAAATTATTTCAAAGCATATTTTCGGCCTTGTAGTAATGCATTTCTATTTGCTACGCTCTCCTCTTCTGTTTTTCCTTTCCCCTGCCCCTTTTTCTAAATTGCATTAGAATCAAAAGGGATTTAAACTATTTGATTTGAATTTTAAGGAAAGAAAAGGGACGAGGAGGACCCTACCAAGTATTTGATCTTTAACCCTTACTGTACTGGGGGAGGGGGCCTGGGAGGCCCCCCCCCCCCTCGACATTTTCGGAGATCGCGCCGCAACCGCTTGGAATTTTGAATTGTCGTTTCATGACTTTTTTCCTTCAAGTCTTGCGCACATTTTGATACCATTTTCGTCAAAATCAGATATACCTGTAAGGTGTTACATAACAATTAGTATGCGCATGTCATCAAAAAAGTGCTATAATTGCATATATTCATGTACAAGCAGAAATGTGAAGATATGAATTGATATCAAATTGCTTTTATATGTTTCTCAGAGTAACTTGATGTATTCCAGAACAAAAGAATACATTAGAAATAAAACAATAGATATAATAAGAAATAAAAAACAATAAAATACATAAGAAAATAAATAGTTGAAAATCGCATCAAATTTGCATAAATTATCATTATTAATTACATCAAATAACTATTTTGTGTTAGAAAAGAAGTTTCGTATGAATAATGAGTTTCAACATTCAAAAAGAGGAGTCTGACAATTTTTGTAATGATTCTAGTTCCCTAAATATAGTTCCAGATTTGATATTCATGAATGCGTAATTTGCGTATTCATAATTTATACAAATTAACCTATGCATTTTCAAATTTCATAAAAATAATGAAACCTCATGAATTTGAGATGAAGGAAACATTTATTCAATACATTTTCAAGATTCTTCACAAGTCTACGGACAAATATGTAGAGTTTTCTGTAAAATGCATAAAATTAGCATTTTGCATAATTAATTAGGCTATAACGACAAAAATTTGCATATTAGGAACAAACTAATTATACCATCTTGTTCCTTACGTAAATATCTACAAATATGCAAATTTTCGTGTTCATCGGACATTCGACGGCCGAGATCATAGGGGGGGGGGCCTCCCAGGCCCCCCCCCCCCCCCCCCCCCCCAGTCAGAGGGTGCTCAAAATAGCCCAGTACAGTAAGGGTTATTAGAAGTGGACGCCTTCCCCGTTTGTTTTTCATTTACCGTAAACAGAGAACCGAATTATGAGAGTTTATTCGCCCTATTTTAATTGCAGAAAATCAAAACTTATTATAATTATCTGATTTGAATTTTTAGGAGAGAAAGAAGATGAGGAGGACCCTACTAAGTACCTGATCTTCAAGCACAGTGGTCCAGAGCTGCCAGACCCTACATCTTTCAAAATCAAGGGAGATACCATGTGGATTTCATTCAGGAGTGATGACTGGGATAACTATTCAGGCTTTGAGGTCCACGTTGCTGATACCTCTGTTTTCGGTAAGTAACCAGGGTCGGTGATCCGGATAGTATATTTTTTCCGGCAAGAGGCCCTCACGGCAAAATGGGCCCATGCATTTATGTATATAAGAAATGGAAAACAAATCCTCTATAATAATTTTTTTTTCTCTTGATATGGCACGTCGCAATTAATCGCATATGAATGAAGTCTGTGCGATATTTTCATATTTATTTTTAACTCGCTGTCTATTTTTTATCTGTTTCCACAGATCCTGGTAATGTTGCCAAAAGTCCGTTCCCCGATGCCAGGAATACAAGTAAGGAATTAAGTTATTGTTCAAGTTCAAGTTCACTTTATTAAATATTTTATTGTATTATTGAATGTTCGTTTGATCTTGTGCTATGGCCTTCATTTCGAGCTTCTATTATGCATGTTATATAACTGCGTGGAACATACAATAAACACATAGGGAAAAATGCATATGTTCATAAATAATCTTACTTAATCGAACCTTGTATACTGTGTATTTTGTTGTATTTTGTATTGTTGTATGACAAAATGAATGGCATAGAAGACAGGATTCATGCTTTAAATCCAATGAAAAAAAAAGGATAAACAAAATAGAACCATTGTTGCTTAGATTTATTTTGACAACCTTTTCCAGATTTGAAAGGTCTAGGGAAGAGACAATTTCGCCGCGAGTGTATTCAGAGCCCCTTATGGAATTGCTACCTGTCGTTCAGATTTTTTTCATGTTGGAACGGAAGAATATCAAACACAACACTCTTTTTACAAATGATTTTGACAAATTTGACAAATATTAATATTGTTTAGACAATCTACGTATTCAGAGCCCTTGTAGAAAAAGTACGTTTAGATTACTTTTGAAACTGAAGTTGATCAAACAAACCCAAAGGAGTGGTATTTTGACTAATAATAATAACAACCTCTTTTCCAATTTGTGATGGAACAAAGATGTTAGATGTTGATTGGGAGGACTGACGAGACAATCGTGCGACTAGAATATCCAGAGGCATTGTGAAATTGCATTGTGTCGTTGAAACAGAAGATCATCAAACAAAGTAGCGATAATTACGCCTTCCGACATTATTATTAATTAATAGTAGTAGTAGCAGTAGTAGTAGAAGTACTAGTAGTGGTAGGATAATTTGTATTACTATTGCCTTTGTTTTGTACTTTGTATAATCATTATCATTGTTATTGTTGTCATCATCATCGACATTGTTGTTGTTGTGTTTCTTGGATTATTTGTTGGATGAAAAAATAACGACCTCTTTTCCAGCTTGTGGTGGCACGGTCAGATTGGACATTGATGGGGAGGAGACGATTACGTCACCAGGGTATCCAGAGCAGTATGGTAACTACATGCAATGTGATTGGTTAGTCAGGATCGTTCCCGGACGACGTATCGGTATCTCCTTCAGGACCTTTGAGCTTGAGACTAATCAGGTAAGTACAACGGGAGGCATTCGTTTTACAAAGGTTCTTTTCCCGAAGGTTTATCATTCTGACGGTTCGTCATTCCAAAATGGTCCAAATAAGTATATCATTGTTTGGTTATTGGTAGCCTATTTATATTGATAATACTCTTTTGGTGACATTAGTTGATAGATTGTTTGACAGTTTAAGTTCATTGATTATCCTTGACAGGATAATCCATGTTAGCAGATTATTAGCTTAATTCAAAAAGTGGAAACGTTGTGTTCTACTTCTAGTCCTCTAACTACGAAGCATAAAGTATAGGGTTCAAATCCCAGGGACGAAACCTTGACCTTGATCAATGTATGCCACTCACAACCCTTGATCGCCTTATCGTATAGCAACGGAGGCTCAAGAGGGCCGGGAAATAATATGACAGCGGGACAGTATCATCATGTTTATTATGGGGTCTTACAATACTCCCATGTAATGATTTAATTTAATCTAATTTCCACGTCCATTATGGAAAGGAAGAGTCTAACCATACTAGTATACATTATATACCTCATTTTAAGATTCTTTACTAATCCTGTCTTCTGATTGGTTGAAAATGCAGTCATGTTCTTAACCATGCCCGCTAATTGAAATTCATAGTCATTTTTCCCGGCTCTACCGGTTTATATCCATTTTTCATAGCACTTTTTCCATGGCTGTGAAACGTGACGTCATTTTGCTGCGATCCCCATTTTGGTTTACGTGTTACCATATAAGTTTCTTTTGTGCGATGACCGATGCGCAATACCGTTAACGGTGTTTGAGTGCAATTCGATTTTGGTCGCTGCATTCAGGCGACGAATCTACCAATCCACGCAGCGCAGACGACCGATCGCCATTTTGTGTACTAGTCTCGATCGCAAAATACTGAGGTTTTTTGTTTCCAATTTTTTGTCAATAAAGAGGCAAAATAGAGGACACAGCTATGCCAAGATTTCAACTTATGGATGACATTCAGCTGCAAGACTTAATCGATTCTGCTGATAGCAAAAATACGAAGTATGCAGTAAAATACGGCATTAAAATATTTGAAGAGTTCTTGCGAAATGTCAACACGGACCTCGGAGATGTAAACAGACTTCCGAATGCAGACCTGGACAAGATCCTTCAAAAATTCTATGCGGGTTGCAGGCAGAAGAACGGCGATTATTACAGCAAGAAATCAATGCTAACGATCAGATTCGGGTATATAAAATATATATTGACTGCTTTTAATATTCGAGGCATAGTTGTTTCTATAGGGTCTCGAGAAACTCACAACCTGCTATGACCCCGCGGCGCAAGCGCCTTGGGGTCATAGCAGGTTGTGAGTTTCCCTTGACCCTATAGAAACCACTATGCCTCTCAAAGCAGTCAATATATCCTTATTATATCATCCGTAGGACTTTGTGGAGATCGGATCTGGTGCCAGCGTTGGAACAGATCTTGTCAATGGCGGGAAACTCACTGGACATTCAGTTCCTCACAAGGCCATTGTGATCGAGAACAACGTGGCCTGGATAAGGTTCACCAGTGATCCGGCCAATGCCCGACGTGGCTTCTCAGCAATAGTCAGGGACCAACCTCATAATGGTAAGGACTTACATCCAGCAATGATGTCACAAAGGAGAATAGTAATGTTAGTGGATAGTTAGGGGTGCACAGCTAGCCCGTGTCAATTGGTAAACCCCAAGTACGCGACCCCCTAAAAAGCAAAACCCTTTTTAATTTCAACCCAAAAGGCATCTGAAGATGTGATTTATTTTCCTTTAAAGTTGTTTCGGCATTATGGCCCTCCTCCTCTACAAAATTCTTAAATTGACCCCGGACTACTTATTGGCAAGTATTCAAATAGGAAGAGTGAGTTGCCAGAAGGAAGAAATTCCTTGAATGCTGTGATCACCGAAATCGGAGCGTATATTAGCTATAGAAACGAGATAAGAATTGAGCACCTCATGAGGTGAATGTGTCTATGTGCGCTATATCGTTCAGTATTTTAACACTCTAGAATTGTAAAATATCTTATTTCTAAACACAGGTTGTGGTGGAACAATTGACATCCCCAACGACGGGTCTATCGTGGTCGCCTCTCCCCTCTTCCCCGACCTCGGTTACCGGGTCAACCTCAACTGCATCTGGAAGTTCACTGGATCTGAGGGCCGCACGCTCTCAGTCATATTCAAAGACTTCGCTACCGAGGAGAAATACGACACCGTGAGCGCTGGCTACGGGAGCAGCCCGGCCCGCGATGGATCCAACTATGTGATCAAGAGCGCCAGTGGTAGTGGACTGCCTGAGCCAGCAGGGTTCGATACCCCTTCCAATGAAGCTTGGATCTACTTCCGATCCGACAGCTCCATCATCGATCGCGGATTCAAAGTAGAAGTATCAGATACCTCGATCAGGCGTAAGTAGATAATGAGAAAGAATTTTACTTTACTGTTATTATCATTATTAGAAGCAGTAGTAGTAATATTACACACCTGTATTATCATCATCATCATCATCATCATATTATCATCGTAGGCTAATGGTCTAATCCCACAACTGAGAATCCAAAATCATGGGTTTGATCCAAGGCAAGGTACTTATGTGCTTGAGCAAGGCATTTTATTTGCATTGCTCCTCTTCACCCAGGTATTGAATGAGTAATCGGTAGATTGCGAACGTATACATGTGATTGGATAAGCACATGCGCTCGAGGAATGGTCCTGAATTTCGTGGGGAATGTACACTTAACAGTGCAAAATCGTAACAGAATCCTGAGTCCGGGGTAATGATACTCTTAACACTATTGTCCGTACATTGTAACTGGTCGAGTGTTTATAATAATAACAAATAGTTATTATGATTATCATCATAACCTTTATAACCAATGTAATTATGAGAGGAGCTGAAAATATGAATCTAACCACTGTAGCCCTCAGGCATACATATCCATCCCATAGAACTGGAATCACATGGCAGTGCAATATACAAAACACTTGGTTGATAAGCAGTCACTTAATTTCTCATGTATGTTGATAAACTGAAGTTCATATTCCCTCACATCGTGCTCCTCTCCTTCTAACTCTCTCTCTCTCTCTCTCTCTCTCTCCCTCTCTCTCTTCCAGCTGCCAACTTTACACCTGAGGTTCAACCTACCAAGGAGCCAGACACAAGTAAGTTCTGAAAGACATTCGGGAACATTATTAGCAATGTTATAAATCTATGAAGGCCCATTCACATTATGGCGAGTTTGGTTGTAAAGGGTAGTCCAAAGGTAGTCACTTTTTTTGTTTGTTTACAAGGTTCAAAAATGGGAAGTGCAGTATAGCTTTAAACCTTGTTCAGATGTGACAAGGTTTCCGGCCATTTACTGCGTCGTATTCAGCCTCATAAAGGGACTCCAAGGCACTCCAAGGCCCTCCACGGTATACCGTGGCCGCCACGTGAAAAAGCCTCGAGTGGAAATAAAAACTGTTCCGCGAGTTTGTCCAGTTCTTGCAGGTAGCAAGTTTGTTCAGACGGTCTGATTCTCGTTGGGAGAGGGGGACCTCAGTTCCTAATGGAGTCCCGTTTACGTTTGATCTTCGGTCCGTGAAGGGCACTTGAAGGCCTGATAAAGCCATTAGGAACTGAGGTTACCTGTCGTGTTTCTCTGCGGGACGCTTCATCAGGCACTTGGTCTGATTGGTGGCAAATTATCCCTCATCCTTGGACGTTTCCCCAATCCCTCGACCCCGTCACTGGTCAACCACCATTTGCCACCAAGGACCAGTCGGTCGGATCATGGACCTACTAGTCCCTGGTCGGATGAAGAGTTCCGGAGTTGACGTGAAAGCAAGTCCAGATGACTTGTTTATAACATTTGGTGTTATTAATCTAATACCTGCATGATTAAGAACATTCACAATTCCTAGGTCACATTTGCCGCGGCGGCCGTGCGTTCTAAATTATCTACGGCCAATATCAATTATACGGCCGCCGCAGTATTCTCACGGTCACATAGGTAGCGGTCACATTATGTTTGGGTAGCTGCATGGCGTATTGTGAATTTGTGGGGACAGAAAATCTGCGGCTGCCGTACGGCCTTTGAAGTGATGACGCATGGTCGCCTTAGGGCGTTCCTGCGGCGGCCGTAGGTTTTTGACAAATACTAAGGCAGACGCAAGGTGGCCTTAAGGTGCCCGCAAGGCGGGCGAAGATGACCATACGGCGACCGTGCGGCCAGACTGATGCTACCGCTTCACCCCTTGAGTATATAAAACGCAAGGCAACCGTACACCCAAAGTACTGTCGTCGTGGAACCGCTCTACGGCATGGCTAATGTGTGTCTAATCGCTACGGCGAACCTAGAAATGAAAGCAGTTAAAACTCCGCGTTACAATCCCATGGCGACCCGTACGGGCTGTGACGTCCTAGGGTGACCCTGAGGCCACCGCAGATTTTCTGAAGCCGCCGCAAGTATCTCTCGATTTCGGTGGCATACGGCTGCCGTATCATAGGCGTACGGCCGCCGTATACTAGCCGTAGACTAAATATGAACTAAGAATAAACAATAATTGATTTATAACATCGCTAGTAAATTCTACCTGACTAAAATTGGCACTTTGATTATTTTGGATACATTCGGATCGACAAGTGACCAGGGGAGTGTTTCACAAAGACTAAGATCAACATAAAGGGCCCATGACATCGAAATACAAGTGTATTCCTGTTGATGTGCAGTCTTGCATACATCTCATATTTTGATGTGTAAACTTCTGAATTTGTTTCATAGATTGTTAATATTTATTGAAATATTTGTTTTTCAAACTTGCTAAGCTCCACCCCGAAAACCTCCAGATCTCATTCCCCTTGTGACATCATCTGTCAGTCATCAATGAGATAACTTGAGAAAGTGGTATGTATCTTTGCCGAAGTCGACCACCTGTTACAATACGTAATACAATAGCAACATACAAGTTGCTATGTCAGACATGCTGTAGTATCACCAGGAAGACAAAGGCAATGATGATGTATTGTAGATATGTATGGAAGCATGCAATTCTATTATGAACGTGTGCTAATCTGGGGGAAATTACATACCATTGTCTATTCTAGAATATTAGTTTAGTCTGACATGTCTGACATAGCAACTTATATGTTGCTATTGTTTGTGGTATTGTAACAGGTGGTCACCTTTGGCAAAGTTACATGCAACTTCTTCAAGTTAGCTCATTGATGACTGACACATGACGTCACAAGGGGAATGAGATCTGGAGGTTCTTGGGGTGGAGCTTAGCAAGTTTGAAAAACAAATATTTCAAAAAATATTTAAAAATCTATGAAACAAATTCAGAAGTTTACATATCAAAATATGAGATGTATGCAGGAATGCACACCAACAGGAATACACTTGTATTTCGATATCATGAGCCCTTTAAGAGACTTGAACTATGGCTGCCCATTCATGCCACTGGTTGCTCTCACCATTTGTCTCTCAAGGACGTCACAAATCTACAGAATTTACATTTTTGATAGAACATTGTTGAAGAAAAATTACTTACATTATCAATTTAAAGTTATATTTAAGACGTGGACTTATACTACGGTATGCGATTTATGCCCTCAAAAAGGTCTTGAACCAAATGTAAAATTAGAGAAAAAAACCTTAAGATTAATATGATCTTTAGATATTTTGTCTTACTATAATGAACTTTTAAAAATCTGTAGATTCGTGACCACGATTCGTATGTCCCTTGAGAAAACAATGCCAGGAACAAGTAGCAAGAACGGCCTGCCATAATTCAATTCCAACCTAAGTAGATCTAGTCTTTGTGAAACACCGTCCTGATAAAACATCATACATTGAGTTCCTAATATATTTATATCGCTTCAGTTTGGAGCTTTTGAGAAAAAAAATAAGCTCCTAATAAAGCATCTCTATATTAGACCGTCTAATGAGTCAATATACACCTTTGCCTATGTCCTCCTCTGCTACTTTCTTCTCTAATCCAATTCAGATTGTGGTGGCGAGGTTGTGGGAGGCTCCTTCACTACCAAGCTGGTGATTGACTCACCAGGTGGTTCTACGTACAGGAAGTTCCTGGACTGTTTGTGGGAGATCGAAATTCCTTTCGGTGGCCAAATCCGCCTCTTTTTCCCGCAGTTCCAAACCGAGCAATACCGCGACATCGTCATCGTCGGCAACGGAACGGACTATGAAGACAACGAGAGCATTTTCATCACCCACAGCGGCCGAAAGAAGCCTAAGGAAGTCCTAACATACGCTAACAACCTGTGGGTCCGGTTCACCACAGATTCCGACTATGAATTGTCCGGTTGGACCATGGTCGTGGAAGCAATACCCTATACAAGTAGGTTACCTCAAATACCACATTTACATTTTGTTCTTCTTCAGAGTAAATCCCCTAATTTCCAAGGCTTTACAGCTCATATATATGCAAGGAAATCAAATATCGAGTAGCAAAATTATTATAAAAAATCATTATACATTTTCGTAAATAGAGTTTTTACCTGTAATAACTTATAATTGAAACTGCTTTACTTTCGATATGTATCCGTGTAAGGTGCTGCAGTTTCATTTGTTTATTTATATTTTCCTCTCATTCTTTCTTGATGCTACAGTCATTGGATTGTTTGTGGTTTATTTAATTATTTAAAAAGGAATCATACAGTGGTTACTTGTTTTAAAAAAAATTGAGGCCAATGAAATTACCTTGTTCCCGTAAAACCTTGTTATACCAGGCTAGAAACAAACAAAAATAAAATAACTGGGTTTGACAAATTACCTTGTTTATAACGAAAGTTTTTTTTTATTCTTCATTATGAGGACTGGCCTTTTATATCCAGCAACTACGCCAGCTATGCATATACACTTCTCAATTTTCGAATTCTTTAGAGTTTTTTCTTTCTTTTTCTTGGTAAAAACTTCTTAAAGACACACTGTCGGCAGCTTCCATTAAGAATATTTTCATATCATAATTTCCTAACACCTTGGTGGAATATTATGTGTCTACAACTCTACATACACGTATTTCAAAAGGACGTCCAACCAAGAATATGCTTACCCTAAGTCTCTCTGTAAGGGAAATTTGTGATGATAAGCTTTCCTTTTGGTGAAGGTTGGTGAAGGGTAAAGTGCAGGCGACTATCGCTATAATTGGTAACACCCGAATTCCTAACGAGGAAACCATGTGCATACATGTGTCTTATGATTACTTTCATCTTCAGATTGCAGTGGTCACCTCTCCATCCCACCCGAAGGCTCCATCACAATCGGTTCGCCAAACTTCCCCTACAACTACAACAATGGGGAGACGTGTTACTATCAGATCATCGGTGCCCCTGGTAAAAGGATACTGGTCAATTTTCTGGAGTTTAACACGGAACGAGATTTTCGAGACGTTATGAACATCGGAGACGGATGCTTCCTGGCGAGCGGGGATATCATTGTCAGAAACCATAGTGGCCATGGCTTACCTGATCCTGGGAGATACTTCTCCCGTCAAAACGCAGTGTGGATGACTTTCCAAACCAGTGATTTCAGCGATTACAAGGGATGGCTCATCAACTTTGCCGACGCCAAAACCCCCGCTGGTAAGAACAAGACTGTCTTTCTATCTTTCGTCGTACATCCTCTGTCTCCTCCTCCTCCTCCTCCTCCTCCTCCTCCTCATTCCCCTGCTTCTTCTTCCTCTAGTGTTTTAACTACACAACCCTTGTTGATATTTAGAAACGTTTTCTGTTTTTATTTTCCGTATTGTTCTGAAACTTTGCTCATATTATCTTAGCTTTACGATTGTGGATTGTCGATGTCCCCTGCGCTTATCATGCAGAAACAATCCCGGGTATATGCCTATATAGCGCCATTGATTATGAGAGTTCAGTCATTTCAATATCCTATTGTTTGTCCCATAGAAATCGTATTCAGATTTTGTCACTGTAATGTTAGCACATTTCAAACGGTGACGTTTTACGATTTACTGACTTTGGATCGTGTTTTAGTATTCTTTCGTTCGAATTTTCTCTTCATGCAAATTGAAATGTTTCCGTTACAAAATACCTGATTCGTTTGGGTTTGTTTGTTTTCTAATATTCGCCTTGTCTTTTTCTTCAGATGCCGGCGCTGAATGCGAGGTGTTCGTGCCCCCAACCCAACCTCCCGCAACCACCAAAGAGCCATACCAGCCTATAATCTACGGTGCGGATGAAATCTGGTCCGGCCTTGGTCCCATCCCCGCCTGGTACGATGATCTCAACCCCGACGCAGACGGCGCAGGGGATGGGGACACAAATACCATGACAGACTTCGAGTACTCCTCTCCTGTGGAGGAACGCGTCGTTGAGGGAAGTGTCCCTGCAGATAGCGCGTAAAGAAAGGCAGAAAGGGAAACTGTTTGCGATTAACAGGGTGAGTTTGGAAAAGAGTCATCTCCATTTTATTCTTCATGGCTTTACAATAATACCAACGATGATAATAATTTATAATAACAATGATTGAATTGATAATAATCACCATCTTCCTCACCATTATCATCATCGGCTCACCACTCCTAAAGCAGTTCTCACCACGCAAGGGGGTAGTAAAAGTTATCACGCTCTGACGTCACAATATCAAAAAGTAGAAAAGGGGTCGCTGTTCTATTAAAAATATATATATATATTTGATCGAATGAACAAGGAAAAAAAAATCCCATGAGGAATATGGAATTATATGTGGACCTATCGTGTGTCATTCTTTGTTATTCTCGTTAATCATTTTGTTCTTGCGTTATTTTTATTCTGTCCTCATTTAGGGTCACATCATTTTATAGAGACACAAATATTCATCAGTCGCTGTATAGAAAACCAAGGAAGAAACAAAAGCGTTTTGTAAAAAGCCAGCTACACATTCTCATTGGTTTGTATGACTCCGTGCATGAAGATATTTTATTTAGAGGTTCCGACGTACGTAGTTAGTTTTAGTGGTTTCAAAGCACAGTTCGACAGGAGCTTTGTTGTTACAGTTTCCTTTATTCTTGCATTACGACAAATTCAGAAGAGGTAACACGAGTCTGAGTTCCCGACCGCCTCTTTTCATTGATGAATTGCAATCTTGTAATATTATTGCTTGACACATTCAAATACAAACACAAAAAAGGTCGTTCCAAAAATTGTACCAGGATGACGAGGAGAATAATGTATCAACTGCTCATGCTAATTGAGATTCTATTCTAAAATCAGCATTTCAATTGAAAGAATAAACTTCCAATGACGTAAGGAATTGGTTGACGAATCTTTTTGTAGAAATATTATGTGTGAAGAAACATGCCTTTTCTCAAATGAGTGTATAATTATGTGACTCATTGGGGATTTGCCCAAGAAAATGTAAATCACATCGATAAGCTTAGACTTCAGCCTTTTTATTTTGTGTATTTCTAAGGTAGTTTTCGTTGTTTTTGTTCACATGTATTTTCCCCTTTTTGTTGGTATTTAGATATACTCTTTTCTTGATGTTCTGAGGACCATAATAGCGAAGCTGCTCAAATATTTTCATGAAGAAAGAGAAAAATCTGTTGTAGATACTCAGTCTTTGAGATTGAGACACAAGCTTTTTTTAGGGTATTTGTTTCTAATAGACGAAAATATAAGAGCATTGGCACATTCATCCTTTGAAATTTTAACACGAAAAGAAACATTAAAAAAGTGTGGTCCATTGGTAACTATATACACTGTACAAATAAAGCTACAAGATGCTCAAAAGATTTATAGACTAAAATGTTGAATCGTTTACTATAATCAAATTACTTGTGTATTTTTATTATGTAATTGCTAGAATTTTGATGGTTTAATAGGCTGTTACTTGTTACTTAAGATTCGTGTTAAAGTAATATTTTTAATTATCTTGTTGTTTATTAGATTTGAATCGTGATATGTTTCCTTTTATTTTCTAAATATTTGTATTCATCTAAAAAGCAGCGTGGAAGTTTATGAACAATTTTACTCTTAATAAAAAAAAACGAAGGAAATGTAACCAAAATATTGGTAATCAAGGTTTTCTATTTTGTGTAATTTTTCAATAAAATCGGACTCACAGCTATGCATCATGTGTAACGTTTCCTTTGTCTGCCTGTTAAGTAATAAATACATGTATTTAAAAAACGTGATGATAACTTGCCGGGGGCATAAGTCTTTAAAGGTACTATGTCCCATTTGCAGGCCAAAAAAATGAAAAAGTTAAATTCCAACTGCATTTGAAAGATAATACTAATTTAGATCTTCCCTAAAAAAGGTGGGGCTTGAAAAGTAATAGTCTTGATTTTCAGACAATTGTACCGAATGGTCATACGTTTTATGCTGCGCAAAGATTCAATCAGTTTAATCTTGGCCATCACACGAAGTGGGTTATTGATGTAGACAAATGCTCATGTACCCTTTACAACTCTTTTCATGTATGTTATTACCAAAGAAGAAAAAAGCCAGTCAGTCACTCAATATAGTCTGACAGTCAAGTCTAGCAAGTAAACGGGTTTCCTTGCATAATTTGAATGTTTGGACACTGCTTACGTTTAAATTTCACAGATAGGACATGTCATATTCATAATTCCTGCAAAGTTCTACAGAATTTGAGGTTGGCTGCAAAAGGGACATAGTACCTTTAACACCTCCGACTTGCAAGTAAAGCACGATGGCAAAGGTTTCGAGAAAAAAAAACATGAGGTGATGTCAATCCTCTTGTCCATTACCTTCTGAAATGTGCGAACAGCCGAACACTCAGATCCTGTTTACTAGGGCAATGCGACATGGTATTGAAAAGACCAAATGTTGATTTCCAGTTAAAAGGGCAATACAGAAGGAAAAAATATGGAATAAAAGGAAATGTTTTCGAAAATTCTTACACAAGCTAGCAAGCAAAAAGAGGTTGGCTCATGACATTTTAGAGAAGCCGCGATGACTCAATGGTCTCGTAACCTGGAGGTCTCGGGTTCGAGATCAATTTGATGAGCTTGTACCCTTAAAGGTATAGACCAGTTTTGGAAACGCCTCCCTCTCAAAAAATGAAATGGAAGCTCTTATTCCCAATCATGTGAAAAAGTATGTTTTGACTAATACATGGTGATACAAATTTTGCTGGGAAACTGCCTTATTTGGTAAATTATCATATCTATCCGGCCTAGATATGGCGTAGTCCGGTCTTTCTGTGTACAGTGCTTGTAACTTTACCAAGACTGGGCCAAATTTCTTATCATTTTGATGATTCCAGAATCTTGCAGTACACACCAATACTTATATCCTAAATGATCAACCTTTTCTGATCGATTCCACAAGGTTTCTTTCACAATGCAATCGCATGACCAGAACTGATCTATACCTTTAATTTAAGTAAGACATTCATTCTCATTACCAAGTCTATTACAAAAGACCTATGCTGTCGGTTCCCTGGTTGTCTTCCTATACAGTATAAGTCAAAAAAAGGTTTACACCACACCTAGAAAATTGCTGATTATTTAAAAAAATCATTAATGAACAGTAAATTATTCTACATCTTATGAAAAAGTGTTTTATCCCAAATAATTTGGTATCATTTTTGTGTGGTATGTGCATGGTCACGCTTGGATGAACAGGAGACATTGTTAAAGAGAGTGCAAAAATGGACTTGCGCCAAAGTGATGCATATTGTGATGTTTGAATAAAACAATTAGGATTTGGGTATTAATTCGGTCTTTGCAGATCTTAATAACATCCCTAACAAATTACTAACGCACACACACGCGCGCATACCACACAAAAAGGATACAAAAAGATTCGGGATACTCTTTCAAAACATACATCATAATTTCATAACCTTTTGTTCATAGCTGACTTTTAAAATAAATGACAATTTTCTGGGTGTAAGCTTTTTTTTTTTTACTCACACGGTATACACTTACTTTCTTAGCAGTCAGGTTTTAACAAAAAAAACTATGAAAAAACAAAATTTTAAAAAACCCAGAGATCTTACTCCCAGCCCCTAGATCCGACAACCAATGGTGTAAATTATGGGCTTGGGGCAATTCCAGGAAAGAAAATATCGTCCTTTCCATCTCCTTCTTTTCTTCTTCTTCTTCTTCTTCTTCTTCTTCTTTTTCTTCTTCTTCTTTTTCTTCTTCTTCTTCTTCTTCTTCTTCTTCTTCTTCTTCTTCTTCTTCTTCTTCTTCGTCTTCTTCTTCTTCTTCTTCGTCGTCTTCTTCTTCTTCTTCTTCTTCTTCTTCTTCTTCTTCTTCATCTTCATCTTCTTTTACTTCTCTTTTCTTCTTTATCTACTTCTTTACCCCTGTTACTTTTTTTCGTTACAATGGTTCCACTGGTTCCATCAAGACGTGTTTACACCGTTGGCGGGAAGCTAAATAGGGCATATTATTTTTCGTTTTGGGGTCAATCTATAACAAACTCGAGATGTACAAAGTGTACATGACTGTATAAGATCCCTATTCCCTTGAGGCATATTATGTAAAGAAGATTTACCAAAAACTACATGAACATAAATTATGTACGTAGAATTACGTAGGGGGCAGGTGTTTAAAATTCAACCCAGTGTATTCACTCAATTAAACCACATTAAATAAAAATACAAGTAAAAATACAAAAATATAAAATTGCAAAAATTATGACAATAAAATACAACTTAAGCAAAAATAATGAAATATTAAAAATCTTGTAAATTTCATCCCTACATTACACACGAGACAGACAATATCAGCTGTTTGGCTCAGACGGTACAACAGCGACAATGGAACGAAAGGGTATATAGAGAAAGGGGGTGAGAGGAGGGCAAGGAAGTGCAAAAATGAGAGAGAGAGAGAGAGAGAGAGAGAGGGGGGGGGGTATGCAGCATGCTGACATAAAGACGACTGCATGGGGAGGCGGATGGTTTTAGTGACGGGTTCGAAAGGAATACTTTTTAGTTTCAAAACGTTGTGGTGGAATGTTTTGGTGAATGATATAAAAACAACGGCTAAAGACAAGACATAATTATAAGGAGAAAGATAGGCAGAGTAGAACTAATATATTATTTGTTGTAGGCCTACTTCGAGCAATTATTATGTAAACGTACAATGTACATTGTAAAGCGCTTTGAGAGGGCCTTCGGTCCTGAAATGCGATATAAAAGAATTTAAAAAAACTATTATTATTATTATTATAATAATGATAAAAATAATAATTCAAATAAAATTTATTTATTTATTTAATTAGGGCAATTTGACCACATTTCCCCTTCTCCTTTTCTTCCTCCTCCTCCGTGTTCTTCTTCGCATCTCTTTTTCTTAATTGTCGCTGTATTAAATATTGCAGCAGTCAAGTCTGTCTATAGTTAGTAATTAGTAATTATAATTTTTTAATACCAATTCTAGGTTTACTTTATTCACGTACGGTTTACTTGATGATTGTTTAACCTGACTGTTCAGAAAGCATTATATGCTTGTAAGACGTGAACAATCAAGGGACCGACGACTTGAAGTCCCCTCCGAGGGACTATATGTAAAGCTCATATAGAGAACATTTCAGTATAATGCGCTATATACGAATTTACTTTATTGTAAGTAGTAGGCCTATATTATTATTCTTTTTCCAATTTTTCTTCTTGTTTTCTTCTTCTTATTTTTCTTCTTATAATTCTTCTTCTATAAATAATTCTCCTCCTCCTTCATCTTCTTAATTCGTGCTTCTATCTTCTTTCTTTAAATCTTTGGGGAATTAGATATATCGTGAAGCCCCGAGTGAAGCCGCTCCTTAAACAATTAAGCCTTTTGATGAGATCGGCCCTAAGCGGCCTAATCAGACACATTTGTTTTATTATACAACTAGGGCCAGGGAGATAGAGATGGAGAAAAAAGGCCGTTTTGGTGATTTGATGAATCTGCATGAATACCGCCGAGCAGGCGCGTACGCAGGGGGGGGGGGGGTGTTTGGGGGTTAGGTTAAACCCCCTCCTTTGGTATTTTTATGTGTGTAAACCCCCATAAACGCCCCCCCCCCCCTTTGATTTTTTTTTTTTTTAAATAATTATAACAAATAAAAAAAATTAAAAAAATTAAAATATTCCCATGGCTGACCTAAAAAAAGGGACCTTACCCCATTTTCAGCCCGATTTAAAAATGTTAAACCCCCCCCCCCCTTAAAAAAAAAATCCTTCGTACACGCCTGCCGCCGAGAGACTTTCATTTCCGCGGTTTTCGTGGTATTACGAAGCCCTACTTGGTTTATTAAAGCCCATAGAAAATAACAATATACATAACATTGTTGGCGAATACGTGTGGATACTGTGGCGTCTAAACCGCGGGCTAAACGTATCTCCTCGGTAACGTATGACGCTGAGCTGCGACGACTCCAATCTCATCTTTCTGAAACGCGTTTTATTTGAAATAACATAGACTCTAGGCCTAGGCCTACGCTAAAAAAATAGTTGGAGGATGGGTGACAGAGGATATAATCTAAAGTTTGGACCAGGGGCCGCTGAATCAGTGGATCAGTACCTGGAGTACAAACGGTAAAACTCTTTCTTTTTCTCAGCTGTGTATAACACAGTCTGTCTGGTGTAGATCTAGGCCTAGGCCGACCCGGAGCTCCGACGCCGATGCGGAGGGCGTCCGACGCCTTCGGCATCGGCGTCGGAGCTCCCTGGAGTTAGGTAGGGGTATGCAGGTGGACCATTACACCAGGGTTTCCCCCTACTCTTATACAAATAGTGCAATGGGTTCTTAACGTGCAAGGCTCTCATGTAGGCCTACACAAGGCCTTAACGTCCTATCCGAGGGATGGAGTGTTTTCCACTTGACATAACCTGCATCTATGATCAATGGAAGGGGCACGTTAACACAAAACGCAGGCTTCAGTCATCCTCCTGGCCCTGGGTGGGAGTCAAACCCGGGATCTTTGGTTCGACAGGCAGACGCTTTACCGACTGAGCCAAGGCCAAGCCAGGGAATAATAGACCTCTAATAGGGATTAGCCTAGGCATAAGCCGTACAGTAATGAGCATGCTGATGTTCATCGAATTCGAAAGATCATCACATTTTTGATGAATTTTCGCTTCAACCCCAGGCATGTTAATGTGCACACAAAGCAAATTGCAGTTTTGTACACAAACACTAAGGTCACTAGGTGTTATACAAGAACTACTTAGACCTAATTAATGTATTTCATTCTACAGAGAGCACAAATTCAACCGGAATACCGCGAATAAGTAGTAGATCTAGAGTCTGGACTAGAGTCTATTAATAGAATCTAGATCTAGTATTCTAGGCGTTGTGGAGTGCGCCTGTAATCCTGCTAACGGTGGAAGTTACAAACTGATTCAGCCGAGAACGCAGGTTTGAAACTGAGTGATGTCTTTCGGATAGTGACGTTTAAAGGTCGGTCCCCAGACGTAAATAATCATATCTGATTGATACACGTCTGTAAAAATCCAATACACACACACACATACTACTATTTACTAGTAATACTAATAGAAAATATAAAACCAAGATAAAGGAAATTTCCCTAAAAGTAAAACACTAAATTGTAGAAGGATTTTAATAGCTTCTAAAGGCCTATGGTCTACTCATCATTCTTCTCCTGAATCGTGCGGTCTATTTTTTATTTTAGGTGCTTTTATCTTATCAACTTAGACATCAACGTCTGCCATTCCGAGACTAGATTGATCAGTTAAGATCAACTATATTATAGACTGTATAGTCATTAATTTCATTAAAATTTAAAACATACATTTACAATAACAGGATTGTTGGTGAAGATGATGGCGGAACCTTGTTCACACCAGAGCAGTATGAGGCGTACAAGAAGAAGGTGGTCCCAACCCGTATGAAGAACCGTTTGTTTGTGAGCTGGACGTCTCCTACTGGGATGGACTGCAAGATGATCGGTCCAGAAACAAAGTGCTTCTGTCAACATAGGTAGTATTTCTCTAATTAAAACAAGTTCAGAGTTTACTTGAGGTCTAAATAAATTAACTCTCCATAAAAATAACAAAACAATATTCCTCTTATATACAGAATAATGAAAATTGCTTCCGTTTTGGTTTGTAAATTCGCATTGTGGCGGAGGCATCATTTTCAACTGCGCGCAGTCGAAGATCCATCTAGTTTTTTTACAACTTGTAAAATAAATGAATGCCAACTACGCCAACAAGGGTCCAGGGTGTATTTACTGAGCTCTGTGTTATTCAGAAATGTGAAGCGTTTTACACTAACAATGTAAATCATTTTAACAAAATAAAGAAACACTGCTATTTTGGCCTGTCACATCTGAAAGAGCGTATTACACATTTTATTACAAAAGAAAATAAAGAAACACTGCTATTTTGGCCTGTCACATCTGAAAGAGCGTATTACACATTTTATTACAAAAGAAAATAAAGAAAACGTTGCTATTTTGCCCCATCACATCTGAAAGAGAGTAGGCTACCGGTATTAGGAAAGAAAATTAAAACATAAGCTGTGATATTCAGTATTTTATCTGAACTAGACTTTAGTGAATGATAAATATTGTTCTCCACCTCTTTATGTTTGTAATATGAAATCTTGCTTCGTATTCCATCCTTCAGGTACAAGCAACACAAGACAGATTTTGAGAAGATCCCGACAGAGCGCCCTATCATGCTACCATGCCGGGTCAAAGGTTGCAAGTGCGTCTCCTACAACTACGTGCCTCAAAACGGCAGCCAGCCAATCAGATGCCGGTGTAAGCATTATTCCGATGATCACACTGAAGACCAACACCACGGGTGCCGTAAATGTAAGTTTGGTGGGCTATATCAGACGTTTTATTTGGTGACATTTGCTCCAAGATTTATTTCATCCAAAATGTGGGACGTACATGCCAGGCCTGAGGTTATGGTTGCGTAGGATGTTTGGTTAACGACTCCGTTAAGAATTCATTTCATGTTGGAAATAGCTCTTGCAGCCTGTAATGCCAAACCCTGCCTTTGGTAAATATATATGTTGTGATTTGCTGAGAATACCTTTTATCAATTACTAGTGTATTGGTGACATGAAAATTATAAAACCAGTTACAGAGGCCTGCCTAAATCTCTTTGTTTCGCCTCCTCTAATTAAAGCCCCTCTGCACTAGTTTGGCCAGGAGGGATTAGACCTCCCTGCAAGGTCACTGACAGGTGGTTATCTCATCAAATCAGCTTTCAATTAACATAAGAAAAAGGGGATTTTGGGGGACCAATGATCACTGATTAGGCATTGTTTGCTATATAGAAGGCGCAAATAGCTATAAGTAGTGTAGTGGGTCTTTAATATTGCCTTACCAAGCCATTTTTTTCTGTTACCACTTTTGATTCAGCTGGATGCCAATGTGTAGCTTTCAAGAGTTCCTACACCTGCAGCTGTTCCCAGCCTACCTACGCACACGAGACCATCGTAGAAACCAAGGATGAGCGAAAGGCCAGGGGTCATCCTGTGGGCCATGATGTTCCCTATGCAGCCATGGGGGGACTGACGGGGTTTAGCTCCCTAGCAGAGGGCTACATGAGGCTGGATGACAGTGGACTAGGTGGGTAGCTTTGCCGGTAATTAAGGTTGGGGAGGGGTAGGGGGTGGGAGGCTGGGGGCTAGACCATGCAGTGTCAATAATAGTCGGTGTGAAACAACCAATGTTATTAATGTTCTTATGAAGCTGTGGTGGGATTTAAGGTGTTCAGCTCCTTAACAGAAGGGTACACGAGGCTGGATGATATTGGCCGGGATAGGGATAGTTAGGGGGGGGGGGGGGGGGGGGGGGGGGGGGGGGGAGATAGTAGAAGAGGTGGGTAACTGTACCTAGTACTATGTTGGGTGTGGGGGGGGGGTGGCGCAGAGGAGATTACAGGCTAGACAACTTCTTATTAATAATCATTGTGAAAATATTTAATGTCCCTACATGTATATTCCCTGTTCAGCTGAGCTATGGTGCACTGAATGAATTAAGATATTTACAGGTCCCTAGCCAAGGGGTACAAATGAACTGAAGTTCTTAAATAAACTAGCTAGACAACTCCATACCCATAGGTAAACATTTCTCAAATCTTCTATGCTCCCTATGCAGTTGTAAGTGTGGAAAAGAGGTGGGGGGATTTGATATTCTATCAAAAAATGTTAGTAGTTCCCTTACCAAGTGGTACATGGGAGCGAGATGAAAGTGGAAAAGGGTGGCTAACTGTTCCCTAACGGGGGTTCGGCAAGCTAACAAATCTATGATAGATAAACATACAGTAGTGTTATGATGTTTCCTATATACTGTCAAAATGATTAAATAAATTTAATACCTTTAATGATAAGAAGAAGTATACCTGACTATTTCTTTTAAAGCGCTTTATCATTAACTGACCAAAGTGTTGACAGTATTATTATTACCCCAGTCACTGGATTCTGCACCAAATAGTGCACATTCTCCACTTCCTGGGAATCATTCTGACTTACTGTAATACACTAGTAAGCTAATAAATTAACAATCAAGTCACTTCCATCCCGTAAGGTACGCCGGATGAAGCCTTCCTGAACCAAGCAATAGGAGCAAGCGATCATCCATTCCTGCGCATGCATGCACCTACCCTCAACCGGCTGGAAGCCGGCAGGAATGGTCAAGAAGTGGCCCAGCTGACCGACGACATGGCTAACTTCAAGTTAACAGGCACTGATGCCGATATGGAATACTATGAGAAAAGATACCAGCAAAGGGTGAGTTCTAGATATGAGATAAAACCGCGACTTGATTGGTTGCATTCTTCTTCAAACTGTGAACCCAATTTTGATCGACACATCCAATATGTTTACGGATATTTCTAAATGTTTCTTGACCCATAGCAAAATGGGCAAAATTTAGCATTTCGAACAGCTACAAAACAACACAAAAGAGGTAATAAATTCAAATGAAAGCTTCTGATATACACCATGTGGTAGCTCTTGTAAGATTCTCACCTACCATGCAAATATCAAGTACTGTAAAACCATACTTTCTTGTGTGCGAGAAACTGTCAATTGCATGTCAGGCCCAGATATGCAAAATTTGTTGCCATTCAGAAAGTCTTATGGCGCAAAACAGTGATAGTGAACATTCCATGAAAGTTTTATGCCACAAAAGTTCTTGGTGCTACAGTTTTATACCAGAATCGTCCTTATAGTTATTTCCATTTTATTTTTCTTGTGGTTATGCCCAGCTAAAAGAAGAGCGGATGAGAGCAAGAGCTGCCCCTAACATCAAACCTCCTGCTCGTAGACAAGCCTTGCCACAGACAAGATCAGGATCATCAAGTGCTGCCAAGGCAAAGACCACATCCTCAAGATCTGGGAAACCTTCTGGGAAGTAGCTTATTCCTGCAATATGAGTTGTACTGTTCAGATTAAATTATTTAAAGCCTGTCTGTACTAGTTTGGTTAGGGGGATTGGACCTCCCTGCAACGTTATGACAGGTGGTTATCTCATCAAATCAGCTCTCAATTAACATAAGAAAAAGAGGATTATGGGGGACCAACAGGCACTGATTAGGCATTGTTTGAGATATAGAGGGCGCAAGTAGCTATTAGTAGTGCAGTGGGGCTTTAACCAAAAGTAGCAAAGGCCACATGCTCAAGAGCTGGGAAACCAGCTTATTTCCTGCAGTAGCTGTACTGTTTAAATCGCATTGATTAACCAAAGTCAAGCGCGACTAGAACAAAAGCTACATCATGAAGATTACGGAAATCAGCTACTGGACAATTTCACATTGCAAGTATTGAGCCAACCACTGGGTGCCAGTGAGGTAAAGGCTACACCATCAAGATTGTAGGAAACCTAGAGGAAACTAAGGGAACTCCTGCAATCGGACCTGGGGGGTGTTTCACAAAGATCCTAAGTTGAACTTATCTCTAAGTTGGACTTAAAATTTATGGGAAGCCATTAGCATCCTTGAAAACATTTTGTAATTTTTTTTTAGAAGGCATAAAATGTTGATTCAAATCATTCATATTTTCTATTATCATGGGAGAGTTCATGTTCTTGATGTGGAATTGATGAAAAGTCTAAAATACTCCTATTTTTGCTTTTGAATATATTTCATTTTAAGGCTCCAATGGCTGTCCATACTTTTTAAGTCCAACTTAGTGTTAAGTTCTACTTAGGATCTTTGTGAAACACTCCCCTGGACCAAGCTTAACCATGGCTGTTCTTATTGCATAGATATACCCAACCACTCCTAGGAGCTTGTAAACAGAGGCAATATCTGGAAGATCTGACAAAACCTTCTGGAGATAAGTAACTGTCGTGTGCAGCAAGATCTGCACTAAAGCTGTTCAAATGGCATGGATTAATCCTAAAACCAACCACTAAGTTAAAATAACCATACCCTAAGTCTAAGACCACATCATCAAAGTTCTTGTCTAATGGATAGATCCCTCCACTTCACAAATATCAATTGGCAAGACATTATTCTACAGTTGCCACACCCAACCCAGGTGAAGTAGGAAGCGGGTTACCTGATTAGATTATGCCTTTAAACCTCATCTGTACTAGTCTATAGGAGGGATTAGACCACCCTGCAAGGTCACCGGACAGGTGGTTGTCTCATCAACTTACATGCAGCTCTCAATTAACCTAAGAAAAAGAGGATCATAGGAGACCAATGGTCACCGATAAGGCATTTTTTTCTATATAGAGGGAGCAAGTATTTACAAGTAGTACAGTGTGGCTTTAAACTCTGTGTGCGCTGATAACAATTGCTGGAGGTGATCATTTCCCAAAATTTGTGGAAGTGCATATAGAATGGATGTTTTATCAAAATGTGATATGCATTCCTCACAAATAATATATTACTATTTTTTTGTTTAGGGTTCAACCCTTTCAACAATAGTAATACTATCACCTTGATATTAAGTGTCTTCAAATTCAAATGACTATATAACATATATTGAAGTACAATGTCTTGTTGCTATATATGTAATATACAATTTCTATGCAGCATATATATGTGAATCATTTGATTGAGTGGTTTAGAACTAGATAGAATTGCAATGATTTTACCCATACTTTCACCTTGACATTAAATGTATGCAAATTCAAATGACTATATAATGGTAATATACTGAAGTACACTGTCTTGTTGTTATATGTAATATACGATTTCTATGCAGCAAATATAATGCATGGGTCATTTGATTGAGTGGTTGATAACTAGATAGATTTCTTGCTTCTGCAATTGTAGTATTCAGCCATATAATGTGCTGACGTGAGCGGTGTGGGAGAGAGGTCACCATCTACTGTTGAACATCGTACATGTATTTGATGTAGGGTCAATTTCAATGATATCAAGCTAGATAAATTAAAATGCAAATAAGGATAAATGTTGTGTCTTTATGAGATGGTTTAAAATGGAGTTATGTGCACATTTCCAGATGTAAAGTTTTAAATGATTGAGAGGGGGGACAAAATTAGAAGTAGTTTTATGACAGTAATGTTGTAGATGTTTTGGTTATACTTTCCATAAAATAACACAATCATCATCTCTCTAAAACAATAGTAGGGAATTTCACACGTTGCAGATGAGCAATTTTGTTAATAATATATTCAAAATAGTGTTTTGAAGTATTTGTATTACAATTGTTATTATATTTATATATGTATCTGAATGTCAAACAATTAAGAGTTTTTAAACCCTGATATCTCCCATGTTTTTTTTTCTTCATTGGTTTTGTAGATTTTTTTTTTTACTGAGCTTTCATATCATTTATTTATTTTGGAGCCAGAAATAGGTAGTGAAAAGTACTGGATGATTTGGTTGTCATTTTTTAAAGGTTTGTCACATGACTGATTGCATTCAGGGAATGTTGTACATTGGAAGGCCATCCAAAATAGGTGTGAGATCAATCTTTTGAATAATAATATGTGAACAACTTATAGGAACTGAAATAGGGATTAGGGGGTCTGAATTCTTGAATAGTACATCTACGATATTAATATATGGAAATGGCTCATATATATGTAGCTTGATAACCCTCTGATAATATACATATTGAAATTTATTCTATTAATTTATTTCCATAACCCAGGGAAACCATATTATGACCCTAGGTTATGTCTATTTATATATAATATATCTAATTAAAGAATGATATTTAGCCCTCCACAGTTGGCTCCTTTTTTGGATAAAGTCAAAATAACAAAGAAACAATAGATATATTGATTGGAATAAGTTACTGGGTTTACAATGCAGTGCAGGATCTGTAAAGAAGACTACAAACTTTCTTTTTTAGTGAAGAAATGCAGCTAAGGTTTTGGATAATCTGTGTTTCACTCTGGTATATTAAAAAATAAGTCTTTTCTTACCGAATTATAGCAATTAAGTGTACAAATGTATTTTTAATATTACAGTATATATTTTTGAGAGATATTCACAAAATGGCCAAAATTATATTAAATGATTGATTTATTGATTTTTAAAAACCAACTTTGTATAGAAGGGAAGTTTGCTAATGGTACTAGTATGGCTTCTATGAAGCTGAATAATGATGTAAGTGAGAATATATCCTCTTTAGAGGAACATGCTTTGATTGTTATAATTTAACTGGACATTCTACCATTTGGACATCCTACCATTTGGACATCGTTGAATCATATCAAATCTATAACTGTAAGCAGTATTGTATATTGAATACCCCAAAGTTTTCTGGCAAATGTGTATTTCTAGCTGCACCTTTGTAACAGTAACTGAACTGGGGAACTTGACTTATTTCATTCACACACAGATATTTTCCTTTCGCTTAAGTTGCTTTTAATAAAGTTTATGTGTGTATATAAATATTTTACTTCAGCCATGGTCCATAGATCTAAAAATCATTTATACCCTTATATTTAAATTGTTAGGTTATGTGATAACCAACAGATAAAGAAATACAAAAAATTAGTGCAACAACATGGAATGAACATTTATTGGAAAGGTTAATTTCATTTTCTTATTAGAGTATACAGTTGTTGTTGCCAGAGTGTAGTTGTGTGCAATTATAACGATTAGGCCTAAGTACTTTAGAATGTGTGTCTATTACTAGCAATTAGACATATTTAAAAGTAAGAAAGATTTGATATTAGCTATCAGATGTACTTGTATCTTACAACATGTCTGTGATAAAACTAGGGTGTCTTTCGTACAGATTTTACTTGAATTTCCGTCCTTTGTGTTATTTTCTATCTTGTTAATGAATTTGTGCAAATATTAAATGTGATACTCAAATTGCTATAATATTAAGCCAAGGATGCTCTATTATTTTGTTTGTATTCATTTTGTTTACCTCATTGATGCACGGCACCTATATTGATGTCCTTGAGCTGTTACCAGTGACCCGTTCTGAGTGCTTGTTAGTTGTTCATGTAGGCTATTTATGTACACTATCTTCAGGAAAGGGGGGGGGGGTATTTGCAGCTAGCAAAGACAGGGTGTGGCCTACCCATTCCCCCACCTTAGCTTGAAAACCAAGTGGATACTTTCAATTATTAAGAAACAAAATGTCCCCTGTCCCCTTTTTTCATTCTTCTCTTCCTCGTCTTCTTCTTCTTCTTCGTTTCATCTTTTTCCTTTCTCCTTCTATAAAGTCGGAGCAGACCTCTATTCCTGTAATTGAATATTCTCCTCGTTTCATTATTACACGATTTTCAACTATTTTTAAGTATTCATATTATCTTAACTCTTACCAGATTTGTTATGAGTAATACCTTTCAGAGCAAGAAAGATATTCATAGATATAAAACCAGGATTTCAGCAGACACTCGTGTAATATTGGGTCATTCTTCCTTTTAAAATAATATATTTTTTATGCGAAGGATCCAATATATATCTGGAACGAACTCCCCCCAAAACTTAAAAAGTTGATTGGTTGGTCGGTTTAGTTATGATCATAAGATATGAAATTTAAACATCACAACACATAAAGAAACACTAATATACTTTACGTGGACTATTCTAGAACAATGAAATGAAGATCGAGGGATCACCCGTGTGCATCATTCAAGAAACTGAAGCTTTGCATCTGACAGCCGCCCTTTTTATGTTTGTAATTACCATTGAATGTCTCTTTTTTTTGTTAGTCTTTGTATTTTGTGTAGGATTGTCTACCTTTAAGTTTCTATAATTTCTGATAATCCGACCGTTTCGTTTGTATTTTCCATTGTTGTCTTATCCATATTTGTAAGTTGTTATTGTATTTGTGTTACTTTGCATGTTTGATGAATTTAATTCGATGCAATACAATTCCATTCTTCTTCTCCTCCTTCTTCTTCTTCTTTTTCTTTCGTTTTCTCAGTGATCATATGAGTAAAAGGGCACCTAATATTTTGGATGACCTTATGTCTATAACGTCACAGCAAAGCTCAAGGAATATTGTGCCCCCCCCCCCTCCCATTAGTGTAATCAAGAAGATCAAACCATGCCACACATAGTTATGACATGCGCACACGTACGCGATCAAAGTTCAATTCTTGGAGCTCCCATAGAGATTGTAAGATGACCCCTATTTGGAGCTTTGATCTTTGATCGTATGTGTGGCGTGATGAGCGTGTAACCAATAAGTTACCGGTAACTTCTTGGTGTAACTCATAGACAAATAAAGTGTCACCCTCCCCCTCCCCATCTCTCTATTAATTCCCTGGCCTACCATGCAAACCCAGTCATTTCCTTTTGATTTTTGTTTTGTTTTTGGTAGCTTTCATGAGTTAGGGTAAATGTTTCACATTTTTAATTGATTTGAAAAATAAAAAAAATTATCTGACGCAAATTAGATGTTAAAAATACGTGTGGTCCATTTGCAATTAAAAATCCAAGCTGATCACTATTACTTGTAAATCTAATCAATTGTGTAATGTTTGTTCTTTTCTGACTATTTATTGTTTCCTTGAAATTATTGAAATTATCGATTTGGTGGGGGGGGGGGGAGGAGCACAGAGATACTTTTGTTAAGACAAGAATCACGGCAGAGGCGGAGCTCCCGGGGGGTGGGGGTGGTAAGAAGGCACAGTGCCGGGCCCCCATTTTCTCAAGTACCACAACGTGCCCTTTTTAATAGGAATTGTGCCCATTTTTTTTCCTTATAAGTACGTACCCCCTTTTCACTGCTCTGGTAAGTTCCCCTATATTCAATTCTGCTAGGTGCCCCAATTATTTTGGCAAGTGCCCCTTCTCATTAGTACCCCTTTTAGGTGTGAGAAGTGACATTTCCCTTCTCATTAGTGCCCTTTTAGGTGTGAGAAGTAACATTTTCCCTTCTCATTAGTGCCCCTTTTCCCTTTTTAAGTGACCTTTCAAACATAATAAGTTCCCTTTGTTTCTTTTGATAAATGTTCATTTCCCTTTCTATATAATTTCGCTTTGACAAGTGCCCGTTTTCAACTATCTTTCCCATTTCCCATTTCTCCGGGGCCGGGGGGGGGGGGGGGGTATGGCAAGGTGCATATAATGGCCCCCAAATTTCATGACAACGAGCTTTATACGTGCCTCTTTTTAAAATATAATCACTAGTCCTTTTAAACCACCATGAGTCCGTGGCATATTTTACTCAACTGCTGAAAAAGGCATTCTTCCAACATCTCATCTTTTAAAAGCCATGCCTTTTGTTTGATAAAGGTTCAAACAATGAAGGAGTTTTCAAATTTAAGGCGCAACTGCATTTTCATCATCAAATGTCATTCATATTTTTTTTTTTTAATGAAGAAGCATATTTTATGTACTTGCTATGACAGTATGTTTTTATCACCTTATTTCCACCAGAACAATAGATTTATCATAGCCTACCTGACATAGCCCCTAATTCAAAGCGACTGGGATGGATTTCCCTCTAATTCCTCGCTACGCTCGCATGTTACATATTAAAGGTATTGTTTCCCATCTGACTAGATTGTGTTAAAACCCCATCCTGATTGATAATTTAATCTAAAGATTTTATCGGTCGCAAGTCGACTTCAGACATTTTAGAATTTTGCTCTCCTGCTTCGGCTCTCTTACATATGGATCATCGCTGATAATGTACTGATACTAATGCATGGGGATATAGATTCTATATCAATGTTTACATTTTTTCGCTGTGAGGTTACCCTATTGTGCCCCCCCCCCTTTTTTTTTTCTCTCCAGAAAGTGCCTTTTTTCCGAAGCTCTTCATGAAGAAAAAGAAAAACAAACGAGAAAAAAAAATGAGCCATCAGGGTTTTTGGTGAGCCATATTGGCAACAATCATCTCTGACCATGCTTTGCCCCCCCCCCCCCACCCCAACCCTCCCCCCCCCCCCCCCCCCCCCCCCCCCCCCCCCCCCCCCCCCCCCCCCCCCCCCCCCCTGCTCAAACTCGTACTCAAAACTTTTGCAAGGTTTGCGACTTTTGACAAAACGCCCCTTACGTCAGCCTTCAGTAGCAGCAAGCAAAATGGCAGCGACCATGAGTGGATCTGTGGCCGTGCGAGGTGGTGGAATTTTAACAAACCAGAGGCCAGTTTTTACCTCAGACAGCAAGTAAGTTTCTTTTAAATGCAACTCATTACATTATTTCTTGAAAACTTGTCATTGTTGTATATAAATGTGGACAAATATGGTATTGATGGTGAGCGATCGTGAGTGTGTGAACAGCACATGTCTGTACAGTCCCATGTGCCGGAAATGATGTTTATTGCCTTTTTTGGCGATAGTGGTTCTTGTAGCGCAAGATGTGACATTACTTCTTGTTTCCCAATCACACTTTTTTTTTGCAATATCATCATGGAAAATGTGTATCAGTATATTATTATCAAATATTTGTTGTAGGTTCATTGTTATTTTGGTGTTGTTGTCAATTGTAAATTGATTTCTTTGGAATTGAGGTTCAGAATTTGACATGTTTTCTTTCGTTTACTTTTAGAGTGCTTCTAAATTTAATTATTGTATGGATTATTTTTTAATGAACTTTAAAGTCTGAAAATCAGATTTTATAAATATTTAGATTCATGTAACTTTCCAAATCATTGTTCCTTAACATTTTTTAATGCCCAGGGGGTTTATTAGAGTTTATTTCTTTTAGAAATTTAGGCCAAAATAAAAGTAGATCTAATGAATATTTATATAATAGACCCTATTTGAGCTATGATAATATTGGACGACTCAAAGACGAGTCTAATATTGTCTTAGCGAGAGCAATATATTCTTGTATCACACGAAAACAAAGCCATACAATATTAGTCTGACTAGTGAAATAACAAAATTTGACTTACCTCTGTAAATATTTTTTTTTTTTCCCTTCCACTTTTCAAAATTTGAATATCTTCTAAACAATTCTTTCACAAATTATCATAATGAAATTGCATGATCAAAACTCAACATCATCTTCAAGAAAAGATATACTTCTCTGCAGTAGTGTCACTCATATTCTGTTGAACTTTGCAGGTGTCTGCTGGTATGCTCTGGGCACAGGGTCAAGATTATCAGCTGTCTGAGTGGAGAATGTATCAGGGAACTTACAGGTCACAGGTCAAATGTCAACGGAGTTCACATCAACCCATGGAACAAATTGCAGGTGAGATAGGATGAAGAAAAGGTCAAGTAGGAATTTCAAGTTTTCATAAATATTGTTATTGGAAAGATTATTATGTACAGAAGCCTATGATGTGTATCATTCAAATCAGCTCTTACAAAGGCATTGTAAGTCATCACACAATGAAATCACTTTCCATTGTACTTGCCCTTTGGTAACCTATATTTCATAGATATGTACACTTGCTGACTTTTGTGAAATCTAATACTCTTACATGGTCCAAATTTAAATTTGTATAAAAAGGACATGAAATGCAGACTGATTGATATAATTGTAATATTTTTTATTAACAGCAATTTAATTTGTTATCACCCATACTAGGCCATGGGCCGAGCGCAATTTTAGGGCTTAGTTTTCTTTTTTTGGACTGACTTTGTGGTACATAGTTTTTGGTAACCAGAAATTAGGATAAAAATACACAAATCCCAAATCAGCTTATCCCGCGACTGAATCCTTGTCGTTCGTATAAAACATAAGTTTAATTGACAAGTTATTTAAGAGTGTGTGCATGAACGAGACCGCCAATTTGAATAAACATTGTCATATTTCTTCCTCCAGGAAGAAAAATCGCCCAAATCCCCGTATACCCTATTATTAAGCGAGTACTCCCTCCCCCAAAACAAATTTTTTTTTTTTTAAATCAAAAAAAAAAAAAAAATCAAACATTTGAAAACATGTAAAATGTACTACAGGACTGGATATAAAAAAGACATATATCTTTTTTTATAGTTACAACTAGCAGGACCCGTGGAAAATCCACGGGATTCTAGGGGAGGGGGCCAAATAGATAGATAGATAGAGGCCTATGTGCTATCCAAAAAAAAATTAGATTATCTTTATATAGAGAATTTTTATAATATATGCTGTTTGACCATGAATAGCGCATCGTAAAGCAAACTATGTCAGATAGGATCTCGATAATGACTATTTATTTGCATTATTATTGTTGTGATTTCAATGTAGTTTCATGAAAAGACTACATATGCAGAGGCTTGGATTATGATTATGTTGGCATTGTTCACAAAATGTGTATAATTATTTTCAAAGTAAAGATTTTACGCGAAAAATCGGACGGTTTGTGCACAAATTGACTCGACTGTGTGTGGGACTGTGAGCGTAGAATCCAGTAAAAGATTTTTTTTTTCGGGGACTCGATCTATATCAAATTTTGGGAAAATTTTTGGGGGCTACTTTTTTTATCTTTCGGGGGCTCATTTTTCTTGGGCTAATTTTTCATTAATTCATTTAAAGATGCAGTTTGTTTAGTTTAGTAGCGTAGTGTTACGTTAAAAAAAGGCGTACTCTCTGCGTCAAGTTTCTACGCCGAAAGTACGTGAATTTTGTTAAACATATTAAATTGTTTGCGTCTATCTTGCATACTTTTTTGCGTCCCTCAGGGTAAAGTAACGTAGGCCATCGTACTCTCAGCTCAGCGTAGTTGGTACGCAACTCTACTATGGACCCCACGCCAATTAGTGATCGACCTGCCAGTGTCACAAATAAGGCATTAAAAATATGCTTTTCTGACCGTAATTAAATGCCTAAAACCCCTGAGCTTTCGGGGGTTCAGCCCTTTGTACCCGTGGACACCACGCCTGCACTCAAATCGCTTTGAGTTACCTGACCCCCCCCATACTTTAAAAATTGATTTAATGCAAGAACTGTATCATACTAAAAGTATTATCATGTTTTTAAACGACCATGACCATGATTTTCTTGTGAAAAATGATTATCAAAATTCAGTATACAACTATACATGGCCAGAATAATCACAATCCAAGCCCAGGTTTCATACATCTATTCACGAAACTATATTGAAATCGGGGCAATAATAGCAATTTCAAAGTGTTGTTTAGACTCTCCTCACACCCACGGACAGACCTGGCTACTCCGGTCACCGCTACTCCATGCTCACACACTCAGCTCCGACAGCACCGCCGACAGCGGCGCTCAGCTGCAGTGGCAATACACTGTGGACTCAAGGCAGTTTGCAACTGAACTGTCACGTGAAGGCGTACTATCACAGATCTATTTGCGCTATTCTTGTTGTGATTTCGATGTAGTTTTCATGAAAAGACCAATAAAACAGAAGCTTGGACTATGATTATGTTGGCATAGATCACAGAATTTGTATAATTATTTTCAGAGTAAAGATTTTACGTGAAAATAGGTACATGGTTTGCGCCAGTTGTCGCAATCGCCTCGACTCGAATCGACTGTGGTGTGTGCATGTGTGTGACCTGAGAGCGTGTAATACACGTACACTGTGGGCGCCTGGCCTACAAAGCATATCCTATAGAAAGACCCATAACACGGGTACGCTCAACCCGTTGAGCGTACATATTGGCTACATCCCATCACCCGGGTGAGTCGTCTGTTAATGTGTATTTCTCTTACATGCTACAAAGCGAATCCTATAGCAAGAGGCCTTACTCGGGATATGCCGCAGCCTTTACAATGAGACTTGCTACACCCGTTGACGCGAGTGGATTCTCGTCTATCGTGTGTCTCTTCGTCTCTCTTTGATAATTAGACAGAGGGCGGGTGCACGCCTTGTCAACTCGCTCTCGCGGGTTCGTCGCCTCCTCGCAATCCACGACGCCCGCCTTGCTCTCGTCCGCCCGTCCTCCCCGGCACCCCGAAACCGCGTTTAACGGCATGGACGTCGATCGCGGGGTCGACGTGGCACGCGGGTTACGGGAGACAGGCCTCGTGGAATTGTACCGCCCTCCCCGCGCCACGGCGGAGGCGGGCGGGGTCGGGGAAAGACGTTTTTGAGGAACCGTTTTGGCCCGTGTTGGACCCCCCGCGGCGATTTTGCGTATTAGTAATATAGATGAATATTTAGGGACTCTAATTCTGTAGGCCTATTCTTAAACTATCATTGCATTGCTTTAATATACAAGAAATGTTTTCATCAAAAGTTTTAATTACACAAAAATTACTCGAGTCTTGTCGGTACGGAGCCACCGATCTCTACACAGAGTACGTAAATTCAAGAGAATTGCATGCGTCTCGTCTGTTTCATGGTAGCTATGACCGCCCATTTTCGAAATATTTTCACCCTGACGAGGATTTCATTAGTTTTTCGAGTTCATATTTGCCCAGTCATATTATTTACATCAGCAAATGTGATTAGCTTTGGGAAATATTAGAATGGATTACATAATTTCTTCGTACGACGGAGACGGAGAATGTGCTGTTTCACTCTCGTTGCACGGTGAGTTTATACACGTGTACGAACGGAGAGTTGGCGGTCTCGTTCACGCACATTTCTCTTAAATAACTTGTCAATTAAACTTATGTTTTATACGAACGACAAGGATTCAGTCGCAGGGATAAGCTGATTTGGGATTTGTGTATTTTTATCTTTTTATTAACATTATCTAAATCTTGTACCGGAATCTATGCAACGAACTGGAAGGAAAAGCCCGCTCGGCCCACGGTCTATACCCATTCTTGTTTTTGCTTATGTACTAATGCCACCGTACATCGTTGTATGAATATGATTGACTTGATAATCCACCCTTCCTTGTTATGGATGTGAACAAGAGAAATAAAGATCTGTATCTCACATGTGCTGCTATTCATTACTTTTCATTGCACAGGTTTTAACATCATCAGAAGACGGCACAGTCTTCCTGTGGGATTATATGGACAATGTCATTCTCAAGGTGAGTTGCAGTGAGATCAAAAGTGTTATGAAACAAGGTCTGCTTTCCCTTATACTGACATACTTTCTTTTCTCACAGCAGGAAAAGTTGGTAGAACTTGTTTTGCATTTTGAATCTTTGTCATTATGATCTCATTGCTTTAATTATTACATGTTATTGCCTATTTTGTTTCCTGTAATTTTTATGTTTGCTTTTTCTATTGTACAAAACCTGTAATTCGGCTTTCGAGCCGCTATTGATTTTTATTTCAATAAACCATTACTACAGGGATTGTGGAGTTTGAATCCCGCCCAGGCAGACGACTGTAGCCATTGTTGTATGTTAACACCCCAGCTACATAGATAGAGGCTAGGTTACAGTGAAAAACACCCTGTCCCTCAGAAAGGATGTTAAATGGAGGCTTTATGTGTAGAAGTGTCACCACCTGTGCATGTTTAGAACCCACTGCAGTAGTGGTATATTTGCACATCCTTGTCTGTTTTTAATCCAGAAGGAATAACCAAAGGTTACAAAGATCAATTTTTGCTTTTCCCCTTCAATGCACATTTGATAACAAACAAGTAATAATGAGAGTAACTGGATTTTATAAGGCCCCTATTCTAATAAATTCAAACCCAATGCTCGGTTTGTGCTTGTACCCAAAATCAGGTTCAACTAAGGAAGGTAGTCTGAGGACTAAGTTTTGTGTGTGTGTGTGTGTGTGTGTGTGTGATCTTAGATCCGGGGTCAGTTTTAACTGACTTATTAGAAAACGGATGGTAGAGTTTGTTTCCATAAGATACATGGACTATAGTTTCCCCTGATATCTCTATTTCTGAGTTTTGACCTGTGTAGAATTTTTATCTCTTCAGTTTGATTTGTCTTCTAATATGACTTTTTCTATTTATTCATTTTTTTTTCAGACCATCAAGTTTGACAGACCGCTCTATGGCTTGTTCCTTCATGAGGCACACAAGAACGTTCTCTTTGTACTCTGCAAGAAAATGGATGGTAGGAATCGTGGTAGTTTTTATATACCTCAAAATACTTGATTGCTTATTCAATCTGCTTAATAAACAAATTACAACAGTTCTCATACATGTATTGTATCCCTTTCCCTGTGCATTTTCCTTTATTGTATCCCCCGGCAGTATGCCGGTGGGGTACTTTGGATTCAGCAGCGTAACGCCGCTGCGTCATATTCTTGTGTGCGCTGTAACTGCCACATTCCTTAACAGATTTCTTTCAAATTTTTGTATGGAGGTGTATCTTAGTATAATCTACACACCTATAACTTTTGGTGATGCTGCCCCCAGTGTTCCATCTTCTATAGGGTAAAAAGGCCATATTTTTGTGGATGGTTGAGTTGTGTGCGCTCTATAGGCCACATTTTTCAAGGGATTTTGTTCAAATATTAAAAAAAGGTGTATCTCAGTATAATCTACAAGATACCAGTTTTGGTGATGCTGCCTCCAGTGTTCTGTCTTTATAGGGTCAAAGGTTATATTTTTATAGATGTCTTGTGTGCACTGTAGTGTGCGGTCTAACTGCATCATTCCAGAGGGATTTGTTTCAAATTTTGTATGGAGGTGTATCTTGGTATAATCTACCCACCTATAACTTTTGGTGATGCTGCCCCCAAAACTATGTGATGCGAGTACAGGTACACTCTGATATATGATTACATCTGTGAAGGGGGGAGGGGGATTGTCATATTTGAGAAGAATGCAGAGAGCTGTGTGACGTGGGTTCACAACACCCTTTTACAACCAGCTGATATATAATTACACCTGTGTGTAGGGGGGGGGGGGTCGTCATGTTTGAGAAGAGTGCAGAGAGCTGTGTGATATGGGTTCACAACACCCTTTTACCACCAGCTGATATATGATTACACCTCTATGTAGAGGGGGGAGACAGGGGGAGGTTGTCATATTTGAGAAGAGTGGAGAGAGCTGTGTGATGTGGGTTCACAACACCCTTTTACCACCAGCTGATATAAGATAACACTTGTGTGTAGGGGGGGGGGGGTGGTCGTCATGGTTGAAAATAGTGGAGAGAGCTGTGTGATGTGGGTTCACAACACCCTTTTACCACCAGCTGATATATGATTACACCTCTGTGTAGGGAGGAGGGGAGGCAGGTGGAGGTTGTCATGCTTGAGAAGAGTGGAGAGAGCTGTGTGATGTGGGTTCACAACACCCTTTTACCACAAGCTGATATATAATTACACCTCGGTGTAGGGGGGAGGCAGGGGGAGGTTGTCATGTTTGAGAAGAGTGCTGGGAGCTGTGTGATGTGGGTTTACAACAACCTTTTACCACCAGCCGATATATGATTACACCTGTGTGTAGGGGGGAGGTTCATCATGTTTGATAAGAGAGCTGTGTGATGTGGGTGCACGTACACCCTTTTACCACCAGCTGATATATGATTACACCTCTGTGTAGGGGGGAGGGGGAGGCAGGTGGAGGTTGTCATGCTTGAGAAGAGTGCAGAGAGCTGTGTGATGTGGGTGCACGTACACCCTTTTATCACCTGCTGATATATAATTACACCTCTGTGTAGGGGGGAGGGGGATGCAGGGGGAGGTTGTCATATTTGAGAAGAGTGGAGAGAGCTGTGTGATGTGGGTGCACAACACCCTTTTAACACCAGCTGATATATAATTACACCTCTGTGTAGAGGGGGGAGACAGGGGGAGGTTGTCATGTTTGAGAAAAGTGCAGAAAGCTGTGTGATGTGGCTTCAAAACACCCTTTTACCACCAGCTTATATATGATTACACCTCTGTGTAGGGGGAGGGGGAGTCAAGGGAAGGTTGTCATGTTTGAAAAGAGTTCTAGGAGCTGTGTGATGTGGGTTTACAACAACCTTTTACCACCAGCCGATATATGATTACACCTGTGTGTAGGGGGGAGGTTCATCATGTTTGATAAGAGAGCTGTGTGATGTGGGTGCACGTACACCCTTTTACCACCAGCTGATATATGATTACACCTCTGTGTAGGGGGGAGGGGGAGGCAGGTGGAGGTTGTCATGCTTGAGAAGAGTGCAGAGAGCTGTGTGATGTGGGTGCACGTACACCCTTTTATCACCTGCTGATATATAATTACACCTCTGTGTAGGGGGGAGGGGGATGCAGGGGGAGGTTGTCATATTTGAGAAGAGTGGAGAGAGCTGTGTGATGTGGGTTCACAACACCCTTTTACCACAAGCTGATATATAATTACACCTCGGTGTAGGGGGGAGGCAGGGGGAGGTTGTCATGTTTGAGAAGAGTGCTGGGAGCTGTGTGATGTGGGTTCACAACAACCTTTTACCACCAGCCGATATATGATTACACCTGTGTGTAGGGGGGAGGTTCATCATGTTTGAGAAGAGAGCTGTGTGATGTGGGTGCACGTACACCCTTTTATCACCAGCTGATATATGATTACACCTGTGTGTAGGGGGAGGGGAGATTGTCATGTTTGAGGAGAGTGCAGAGAGCTGTGTGATGTGGGTTCACAACACCCTCTTACCACCAGCATATAAATTATTACACCTCTGTGTAGGGGGGAGGGGGAGGCAGGTGGAGGTTATCATGTTTGAGAAGAGTGCAGAGAGCTGTGTGATGTGGGTGCACAACACCCTTTTAACACCAGCTGATATATAATTAGACCTCTGTGTAGAGGGGGGAGACAGGGGGAGGTTGTCATGTTTGAGAAAAGTGCAGAAAGCTGTGTGATGTGGCTTCAAAAACACCCTTTTACCACCAGCTTATATATGATTACACCTCTGTGTAGGGGGAGGGGGAGTCAAGGGAAGGTTGTCATGTTTGAAAAGAGTTCTAGGAGCTGTGTGATGTGGGTTCACAACAACCTTTTACCACCAGCCGATATATGATTACACCTGTGTGTAGGGGGGAGGTTCATCATGTTTGATAAGAGAGCTGTGTGATGTGGGTGCACGTACACCCTTTTACCACCAGCTGATATATGATTACACCTCTGTGTAGGGGGAGGGGGATTGTCATGTTTGAGAAGAATGCAGAGAGCTGCGTGATGTGGGTTCATAACACCCTTTTACCACCAGCTTATAAATGATTACACCTCTGTGTAGGGGGAGGGGGAGGCAGGTGGAGGTTATCATGTTTGAGAAGAGTGCAGAGAGCTGTGTGATGTGGGTTCACAACACCCTTTTACCACCAGCTGATATAAGATAACACTTGTGTGTAGGGGGGGGGGGGGGTGGTCGTCATGGTTGAAAATAGTGGAGAGAGCTGTGTGATGTGGGTTCACAACACCCTTTTACCACCAGCTGATAAATGATTACACCTCTGTTTAGGGAGGAGGGGGAGGCAGGTGGAGGTTGTCATGCTTGAGAAGAGTGCAGAGAGCTGTGTGATGTGGGTTCACAACACCCTTTTACCACCAGCTGATAAATGATTACACCTCTGTTTAGGGGGGAGGGGGAGGCAGGTGGAGGTTGTCATGTTTGAGGAGAGTGCAGAGAGCTGTGTGATGTGGGTGCACAACACCCTTTTAACACCAGCTGATATATAATTACACCTCGGTGTAGGGGGGAGGCAGGGGGAGGTTGTCATGTTTGAGAAGAGTGCTGGGAGCTGTGTGATGTGGGTTTACAACAACCTTTTACCACCAGCCGATATATGATTACACCTGTGTGTAGGGGGGAGGTTCATCATGTTTGATAAGAGAGCTGTGTGATGTGGGTGCACGTACACCCTTTTACCACCAGCTGATATATGATTACACCTCTGTGTAGGGGGGAGGGGGAGGCAGGTGGAGGTTGTCACGCTTGAGAAGAGTGCAGAGAGCTGTGTGATGTGGGTGCACGTACACCCTTTTATCACCTGCTGATATATAATTACACCTCTGTGTAGGGGGGAGGGGGATGCAGGGGGAGGTTGTCATATTTGAGAAGAGTGGAGAGAGCTGTGTGATGTGGGTGCACAACACCCTTTTAACACCAGCTGATATATAATTACACCTCTGTGTAGAGGGGGGAGACAGGGGGAGGTTGTCATGTTTGAGAAAAGTGCAGAAAGCTGTGTGATGTGGCTTCAAAACACCCTTTTACCACCAGCTTATATATGATTACACCTCTGTGTAGGGGGAGGGAGAGTCAAGGGAAGGTTGTCATGTTTGAAAAGAGTTCTAGGAGCTGTGTGATGTGGGTTTACAACAACCTTTTACCACCAGCCGATATATGATTACACCTGTGTGTAGGGGGGAGGTTCATCATGTTTGATAAGAGAGCTGTGTGATGTGGGTGCACGTACACCCTTTTACCACCAGCTGATATATGATTACACCTCTGTGTAGGGGGGAGGGGGAGGCAGGTGGAGGTTGTCATGCTTGAGAAGAGTGCAGAGAGCTGTGTGATGTGGGTGCACGTACACCCTTTTATCACCTGCTGATATATAATTACACCTCTGTGTAGGGGGGAGGGGGATGCAGGGGGAGGTTGTCATATTTGAGAAGAGTGGAGAGAGCTGTGTGATGTGGGTTCACAACACCCTTTTACCACAAGCTGATATATAATTACACCTCGGTGTAGGGGGGAGGCAGGGGGAGGTTGTCATGTTTGAGAAGAGTGCTGGGAGCTGTGTGATGTGGGTTCACAACAACCTTTTACCACCAGCCGTTATATGATTACACCTGTGTGTAGGGGGGAGGTTCATCATGTTTGAGAAGAGAGCTGTGTGATGTGGGTGCACGTACACCCTTTTATCACCAGCTGATATATGATTACACCTGTGTGTAGGGGGAGGGGAGATTGTCATGTTTGAGGAGAGTGCAGAGAGCTGTGTGATGTGGGTTCACAACACCCTCTTACCACCAGCATATAAATTATTACACCTCTGTGTAGGGGGGAGGGGGAGGCAGGTGGAGGTTATCATGTTTGAGAAGAGTGCAGAGAGCTGTGTGATGTGGGTGCACAACACCCTTTTAACACCAGCTGATATATAATTAGACCTCTGTGTAGAGGGGGGAGACAGGGGGAGG